CCCCCATTTGGTGGCTCGCATGCGTGCAAGCCACCATTTGGTGGCTTGCACTCATGCGGGTCTCCCGGCCTGTTGTTATGTCTTTTTGACCCTTTTGACTATTTGTATCTCTTTTGGTTTGCTTGCTTTGCCCTTTTACGCGTGTTTCGTCACTTTGTTGACTTATGCACTTTACGAATTTGCTTCATATGTTTTACCAGCGTCGGATAATCTTCTTTGACCCGGATGATGATGTTCACCATCTTCTCTTTATCTTGAGCTGCGTGTGGGAACCCATAGGCAATTTTTGACGCCTACACAAATATACTATTAACAACCCATGAGTGAATACCATACATACTCACAACGCTATTTAGAATTATCTCTTATATTAGTTATAAAGAATAATAACAAATGTAACAAAATAACTATATAATTAGTAACTCAACTCTAAACCTAACAATATGAATAAATGCCTGAATATCAAAATAGAAATACATTGCTCTTAGAAATAATGAAACCAATGTGAACATACTAAAACAACCTAAACAAGACAAAACTGACTGATAAGATAACTATGTACTGAAAATGTTGTGTGTTAAAAAAATAAAGAATAAGATTACATATGTAGAATATCAAAATCATGAACTTATTAATGTATATCACTAAAAATATGAATAATATATAATAATCTAGAGCATAAGTAAATGCTAGATGGTATGACAGGAAAAGCGCACACACACAATGTAGATATGTAAAAGTATATTTAAACACAAGAAAATAATCTAAATATTAGAGATATGTTATGTGATGTATATGTGAAATCTAGATTAATGTGAAACGCTTAATGAACATGATTTGAACAATTAAAAATGTATAAGTAACAATTTTCATTAGACTATGTTACTTATATATTTTTAATGAAAAACATACAATATAACACTGTGTGTGATACATAAAATAATATAATAAATAATGCAGAAATTAATACAATCAGACGATACATAAGTCAAATCAAAGAAAATATAGTGTAAAAATAATAACACATAAAATAATGGCCGATACAAGGAAAGAGAAGTTATATAAAGAGAGTCTAGTCGGGAAGTGACGAGACAAGAAACAGTGGGAAGTTCCGAAGTTAAAAAGTGATAAGGTAGGAACTAAGACATAATTCATCGAGATGATAGGATAAGTGCTAACTATAGTCTTACGGATGAAATATGATATACGTCTATATTATTCATTATATTCTCACCGGTAGGACCTCGGGACCGTGACCTGCATGGGCCACCATAAAAACCTGTCACGCGCTGCTTCCTAAAATAGCAGGGAATCAGAACGTGAACAAGCCTGCGACATATTAGACTAAGGAGAAATAAATACTATACAATCCTAAGCTGGATGGGCCCCCTGTAACGTTGCTGATTTGGACTTCCTTTGCCCCTGAGTGAAATATTTGACTCTTTTACCCTTAGAGAAAGAGGAAATTGTTTCTTGTTTTTTTAATCAAATAGACCACTTGAGGATAAAACAATGACAAAAAAATCACTCATGAGGGCTATCTGCAAAAATAAATCTAGGACAGGAAGTTCAGAACAACAATGCTACAGGGTGTCTATCCGCAATTAACCCTAGTTTTAATTACAACCTGGGAGTATTTTTACTAGATCTCTTTTTGAGATAGATGTTAACTAATCTGATTTTAACTTTAATATGCCTCCCTTTGAAAGTAGTTTTAACATGGAATTTGAAAGCAAGAGACAGTCAGTAAACATTTTAAAGGAAATGTACTGCATGATTTTTAGGGCATATTGATTTGAAAAATGATTCAAGTTTTAGATCATAAATGAAACAAATCCCAAAATTTAATGTCTTCTTTGGTCTCCGAGATGCATATATAGATTAAACTAGAAATTCCAGTTAACTTTTGAACTGAAAAACAGATGGATATTGTTAGAAGTTTGTTGTTTTTGTGCAAGTGCGTGCATGGGTGTGTGCATGTGCACGCATGTTATTTATATATTTATTATTTTTTCCACAAAACGAAATATTAGATTTTTTAAAGATTTTTATAAATTATGTTTTTGTTACGTCACTGCATGGATAATCTTTTACACAAAACAATTTTTTAAAGATTTTTATAAATTATGTTTTTGTTACGTCACTGCATGGATAATCTTTTACACAAAACAAACTATTATATTTTTATATTTATAAATTATGGTTTTGTTAGATCGTCACATTTTCTAGACAAACCTTCTCTGAGTGATTTTGGTTGCACTTGATGTTGATCCAACTTTTGTACCGTTCCTATGATTTCCTTGCATATATTCTCATGTTATATTGCATTTTTAATACCTCTGAAATCTCGGTTGTTGCTACATTTACTGCAGGAAAAGTTGACACATCTTTCTGTAAATGCTAATGGATCTATTGTTTCAAAGGATTTCATCGATAGAAATCTGATAAAAAAGAATGTTTGGTAAGTTTTTTGTTTATAAATATTTAGACAGTTAATGGTATTCATTTTCTGTTTATACTTCATTTTAGGTGTAATTGTCGGCTACAATTTTAAGACGAAGAAGTAGCTTATGAATTCTAGGACTTTGACTTGGTCAAACATAGGCATTACAAGGCAATGACATTTAATCCATTCTTATGCACTTTTTTTTGGTGTGAAAATGTAAAGAGCATGTTTAATTTCCTGCATAATTTCTGTTATTTTGCTATTAAAAAGTCGTTATTTTAACGGTTTTATAGTGACTACAAGAGCTCCATAACTATATTTTGTGGTGCAACTATGCATTTAGAAATTGCTTTAAATAGTCATGGCAGGAATTTTGACTGCATCTTCCATAACAAGATGCAAATGGTCCTTTTCTGAAATGCTACCCCATAATTGCTATATTTTATTTTGCTGCGCCGTCAGCGGTCACTTCTCACTTAAACTGCCTTCCCCCATCTGTTGACCAATCATCCATTTTTTTCAGGCTCAAAGCCCTGGTAGCAATTCCTAAAGTACAACCAAGGTATGCTATAGCTATTTGGAAAAGATATCCTACCATGAGCTCTCTTCTGAATGTATACATGAATCCAAATAAATCGGTAAGTGGCACCAAATAGCAACCATGGACATCAAATTGGTCACTAAAGAAACTTGAAGAGTAAATATATCAAATCCTTCTGTTTTCTCGTGACAGCTGAAGCGCGAGTTTTGTTGTGCTCTTTCTTACTTTTTTTGTTTTTGCTTTTCATTTTCTTAGGGGTTCAAAGAGGTTAACTGGGAAGGAGGAGTATACGTTATAAGGGGCTTCATAGCCTTGACTCAATGTCCCCACTCTTTGGCGATTGAAGGTTGGAAGCACTAATGGTCATACTAAATTTATGATCTTCTTGTATGCTCACGACCATTGGAGATCTCAGAATCATCGTATTCCTCAGCTTTTTCCCTGACCATTTTCTCAATCAAAGTATAGATTGGCAAATCCTTCCCATCCTCTCTAAAAGGGATAGCTGGACCTATTGTAAAGGGAACTACGGAGAATGGTATCCTCATGACATACCTCACAGTTAACTTCCCATAATCAGACTGAATCGTGTAAGCATACTTTAGATATAGTCGCATAACAGCTAATACTATAATATCACAGTCAGAACATCTTAAGAACGTCAAAAATAAAGTACAAAGTTACAAGTCCCCGATCACAATTAGCAAGAATATAATAAATAACTCAGAACAGAAATGAGCCATATCAGAAACAATATATCATCCGAGACACAAAATTTGGGTCAAACATGTCCTTATTACAAAACAGTCCGACTAAAGAAATATGAAAATACATAGTCCAACTAAAATAGAAATGAAGAACTACAAAAATAAACTAAGTCCATCAAATGACTAAAAGGGTAATTAATCTTCGGCTACTTCTTTGGCTCTGTCCACAAAACACTCCTGCTGAGGATACTCAAACTCTGGCGTGTCTCCAAGCTGAACATGTCTGTCCTCTAAGTCTGACATACAACCCAAGAGAATAGGAGTATGTCAGCGTGATTGGCACACGGTAAGATCCCACAAGGGAGAATAGAAATGGTCGAACGACCAAATACAATAACAGTAATAATAATAATAAAAGCATGGAATTAAAATTCTAACAATTTAAATGCAATCCACCACCATAATAAACAGTAGAATCTAAAAATCAACCGGTTAACAAAATCATTCAACTAGCCATCCTATAATAGGTCACTAGTCCATATCTCACATAGAGTCAATGTTCAAATCCTCGGATGACTGACTATTCACAAATCCCCTACGCGCATCCAATCCCGCTACACATGTGTCCAGAGGACTACACGCAATCTGATTTCGGTCCTATTCGAACTCAAGCAAAACTCAGGTGAATAAATTTCACTGACCAAAATGACGACACCGATTCACTTTGACCCAACAAACCAACCACAGTGCTACACGATCTCACTGGTGCGAGTCTGAAAGATACATCAACAGCCTTATCTGATCACATGAACCATGACTTTCTCATCCCAACTCTTCTTGTTTTATAAGTCAACAAACATGACCTACAATAGATCTTTGGTCCACCTCCTAAATTTAGTCAATGCACACACACATGTCACTAAGTTTTGTTCATGACGCGCATAGCCACTAAGTCATGATCTTTTAATGGTTCTCAAACAAAATAAGGAAATAATAAATAAAAAGAACAAATCTTGTACAACGTTATCATGGCATGTCAAATATATTAAAATTAAGAATCATAGATCATAAAATTGTTCTAAAATAATCTTCTAAAATAATAAATTTATTTACTTAAAATAATCCTTTTTGAAAAATAAATTCTTTTAATTTATTATAATTATTCTAAAAATACTATTTATCATAATCAAAATCTAAGAATTATGAATCATAAACGGTGTCTACGTAATTCAGAAATAATCTTTTTTCCAAAAATAATATATTTTAAATTATTTATTATTATAATTAATCTATAATAATTCCTTTTCCAAAATAAATTCCTTTAAAATATTTATAAATATTCTAAAAAAATTCTTTTTACAAAAAATCATTTTAAATGTCACGTCCTGGTTTCCAAAATACTAGGAAGTTGGAACATGAACAAACTCGCGACGTATTATACTGAGGAGAAATAAATACTAGATTATTTCTACTCAATCTAATACGCTAAGCGTCAAAATAAAGTGCGAAGTCACGGGTCCCTGATCACAATTAGTAAGAATATAATAAATAACTTAGAATAAAAAAGAGCCATATCACAAATATTATATCATCCGAAACTCAAAATTTGGGTCAAACATGCCCTTATTACAAAATAGTCCAACTAAAAAAATATGAAAATACATAGTCCAACAGAAATAAAAAGAAGTACTGTAAAAATAAACTAAGTCCATCAAAAAACTAAAAGGGTAATTAAGCTTCGGGTTCTTCTTCATCTCTATCCACAAAACACTCCTGCTGAGAATACTCGGACTCTGGCATGTCTCCAAGCAGAACCTGTCCGTCCTCTAAGTCTAACATATAACCTGTGAGAATAAGAGTACGTCAGCGTGCATGGCACACGGCAAGATCCCACAAGGGAGAATAGAAATGGTCGAACGACCAAATGCAATAACAGTAAATAAAATAGAAGCATGCAACTGGTATTCGAACAGTCTAAATAAAATCCACTACTAGGGTATAACGATCAGAAGAAACCAAAATCGTCCAAGTAATATGGTCATGCAACTAGCCTTCCTATAACAGCTCACTGGTCCACATCTCAAATAGGTCAATGTTCGCTTTACCAGATAACTGACTATTCATGGTCCTCTACGCGCATCCAATACCGCGAAACAATTCAGTAAGAGGACTACACGCAATCTGATTTTAGCCTGATCCGAACTCAAGCAAAACTTGAGTGACGAAATAATTTCATTGACCATGTGCGAAACGATTCACTGGCCCAACAGACTAACCCCAGTGCGAAATGATTCACTGGTGCGAGCCTGGAAGATAATCAACAACCTCATCCGATCATGCAAACCAAGACTTTCCCACCCCCAACATCTCTTGTGTTTCTAAGCCTATAATAGATCACTGGTTCACCCCTTAATTATGGGCAACACACCCACACATGTCACTAAGTCTTGTTCATAACGCGTAAAGACACTAAGTCATGAACTACTAATGGTTCTCAATTACAACAAGGAATAATAAATGCAACTGATCATGTGCGATAATATCATGGCATATCACATAATCAAAATCTAAGAATCATAAATTATGAACATCATCTATGTAATTCAGAAAATAACCTTTTTTCCAAAATAATTTCCTTTCTACAAAACAAAAAAACTAACATTAGCTAGAGTCTTCATGGTGATAAATTCTCTCAAAATTTCCACTCTATTATGAAGAATAAAAGGCATCACAATAGAATTCTGTCTCTTTATAAAGAAAATCGGATGAGAATTACTGAAATGATAGAAATAATTGATAAATTCATTGATTACTACAAGAAACTCTTGGGGACATCAACTCCTACAGCACAACCTGATCTTGAAGTATTGGCTAATGGTCCCACTCTTACTTCAAATCAAAAAGTCATTTTGAGTCTGCCTGTTTCTAGGAAGGAAATTAAGTTGGCAGTGTTCTCCATGCCTGAGGGAAAAGCACCAAGTCCTGGTGGCTTCAATGCAACTTTCTTTATATCAGCTTGGGAAATCATTGGAGAGGATCTTTATTTAGCTGTTGAGGAGTTCTTCAAATATGGTAAACTCCTAGGTACATTCAACTCTACTACTATTACTCTCATTCCCAAAATTTTAAACCACAAGAGTGCTTCTGATTTTCGACCTATATCTTGTTATAACTTAGTCTATAAAGTTATAACAAAAATCTTAGCTAGTCGTATTCAGAAAGTAATGGGAAGTTTAATAAGTAAATCACAAAGTGCATTCATCAAGAGGAGATTAATGTCCAGCAACATTCTTTTGGTCCATGAGCTTGTCAAACACTATGGTAGGAAGCAAATCTCACCAAGAGCCATATAAAATATGGATTTGAGAAAAGCATTTGACACCATTAATTAGGATTTTATCAAATTCATGTTAGAATGTTTGGGGTTCCCTAACAATATGGTTAGTTGGATAATGGAATGTATTACTACCCCTAAGTTCTCTTTATCTCTCAATGGTTCCCTACATGTCTATTTCAAAGGGGCAAGGGGCTTAAGGCAAGGAGATCCTCTCTCCATATCTATTTATGTTAGGGATGAAATACTTGTCAAGGAATTTGAATGCACTCATAGCTTATATAACTTTCATCCAAAGAGCTCAAGACTGGGGATCACACACTTAATTTTTGCTGATGATCTCCTCCTGTTTGCCAAAGCTGACATGAACTCCATTACAAGAATATACAATTTCTTTCAAGTTTTTTGCAGTGTATTTGGTTTGCAGGCAAATCTGGCAAAATGCTCTGCTTATTTTGGAGGGATTGATGATAATTTGAAAGCTCAGTTATGCTCACATTTAAATTTTTCAGAGGGAACACTGCCAGTGAGATACTTGGGCTTACCTCTCATTCCGAAAAGATTATCTTGTCTTGATTGCTCACCATTAATCAACAGGATTACAGAAAAGTTCTCCAACTGGCAATACAGAAGATATCTATCTTATGCAGGCAGGCTCTAGCTTATCAAGTCTGTTATTCTAGGAGTGTAGATTTTTTGGACTAGCAATTTCATATTGCCTTTCAAAGTCTTGGAAAAAAATTGACAGCCTATGTTCATCTTTCCTATGGAATCAAAAAGTTCATCTTGTATCGTGGGCCAAAGTTTGTCAAGAGAAGAAATAAGGAGGATTGGGGTTGTTTTTAGCTAAGGTCTGGAATTTTTCAGTAGCATTCAAACTATTATGGATGATTCATCGTAAGAAGAATTTGCTTTAGATTAGATGGGTTCATGGAAATTATCTACACCAGTCTAACATATGGCAAGTCCAAGCTAAACCAACAGATTCTTAGATGTGGAAACAACTCTTAAGAGTTAGAGATATGATGAGAAACAAGTTTAGCAATGTGACCAACCTATCCAACATCATAAACAGTTGCCAAAACAATGGAAAAAAATCCAAATCTCCCGTATTTACAGCTTTTTAAATGCTCCATCTGCTCAGGTTCCTTAGACTAAAACTGTATGGGAGGGATTAAACTATCCTAAGCACTCATTTGTTACTAGGTTAGTCTCTCATTCAAGGCTCTTAACTCAGGATAGATTATGCAGAATGAGGCTCCTTAACACTAATCAATGTGTTCTATGCCAAGCTCAAATTGAAACCTGTCAACATCTATTTTTTGAATGTCGGTTCTCTGCCTATGTCTGGAACGAGGTAATGGAGTGGTTGAATTTTGCAAGGAGGTCATGCAATTGGGATTATGTTATAGGTTGGTATAGTGGCAACCTTAAAGGTAATGGTTTTTTGAAGAAGATCAAGAGAATGGCCTTGTCTGTAACTGCATATATGATTTGGAGAGAGAGGAATTTGTGTATATTTTAGAACAGAGCTTCAACTCAGGTTTTCTCTCTTTCGAGCAGTGAAATTGACCATTT